TGAAAAACACATAGGTTCAAAAAGTCTTGATACAAATGAATAAAAACCTTATAACCTGAGCGCTTTTGACAGGTGGACCTTTCTTCTTCAGGGGCAAACTGAGAATTCCTGTGTATTGATTCCAATTAGACTATACAAATCCATATGTACTGATTCCATGTACAGTAGAAATTCCTATGTTCTCAATCAAGACACATTATAAGAATTCTTACTTTTTGATTCCGAGAACCCTAGCCCGGCAAGGCCAGGTGGTAATGGAGCTCAACTCGTAATCCCCATCACACTAAACATGCTCTTTTTTTCACCTGTGGGGGCATTATAATGTGATGGTGAATCCCAGTATTCGTTGGTAACAGAGTAGCCCAAGAGTGGGTGGTGATGACTAGCTGCCTTCCCTCTAGTCTTACACTGCTAAATTAGGGACGGCTAGTGCAGATAGCTCTCGTGTAGCTTAGCACGAAATTCATAACAAGTCAAACCAAACCAAGAATCCTATATATTTATCTGTGTGCGGATTCCGCGAACACTCTTGAACTTCGTATGGACTGATTTCTGGCACAATTTATACATTTAAATTTTCAGAGCCAGCGCATTATACAAATTACTATTTTCTGATTCCAGGCACACTATAAACTTTCTGTGATCTTACTCCAATCACACTATAGAAATTCCTATGTTCTGATTCCAGGTACACTATAAACTTTGTGTTCTTACTCCAAGCACACTACAGAAATTCAAATTTTTTTCTCCAGGCATACTATAGAATGCAATATTTTCTTATTCTCTGTACACTAATTAAACTCCTGCCACTTTTTACAAGTTCCTATGTTCTGATTCCAGGCACAATATAGAAATTATTGTGTACTGATACCAGCTACACTGTAGAAATTCCCATCTTCTGACTTCTGGAACACTATAGAAATGACTATGTTTTGATTCCAGGCACAATGTAGAAATTCCAGTTTTCTAGTTCCAGGCACATTCATTCCTCAAACATTGATTTTAGTCATATTATAGAAATTCTTATGTTGTGATTCCAAGTAGATTATATAAAATCATGTTTACTGAATCCAAAAACACTATAGGTATTCCGATGCAGTGATTCCAGCCAATTCTTATAAATATATGTATTCTTATTCCTGGAACACTTTAGGAAATCATAATTTGTGATTTCAGGCACACTATATATATTCCTAAATTCTGATTACAGGCATAATGTAGAAATCCTCATTTTCTGACTCTTTGAGCACTACATAAACTCCTGTGTACTGATTCTAGCCATACTATAGACATTCCCGAGTCTGAATATGGGAGCATATTAGCTATTCATATTTTCTGATCCCAGTAACAGTATAGAAATTCCCATTTTCTGATTCTTTAAGCACTATTTAAACTCCTGTCTACTGATTTCAGACATACTGTAGAAATCACATGTATTTCTCCAGCCATACTACAGAAAAATTCCTGTGTACTATTTCGAAGTACACTATAAAAATTCCTACGTTCTGATTCCATGTACATTATAGAAATTTATAATTTTCTGATTACAAGCACACTATGAACATTCATATAACCTGATTTCTGGCACAATATAGACGTTTATACTTTCTCATTCCAGCCGCATTACAGAAATACCTAGGTTTTGGTCCAGGAGCACTATAGGAATTCTTATTTTTTGAAAAGTACTTAATTTCAAGTGTACTGATTATAGTCACATTACAGAATATCCAGTTTTCTGATTCTTGGATCATTTTAGAAATTCATATTTTCTGGTTTTAGGTACACTATAGAAATTTCTGTGTTCTTATTCCAGCCATAATATATACACATTTCTATTTTCTGATTTCTGTAAAACTAGAGGAATGTTTACTTTCTGATTCCAGGCACACTAAAGAAATTTCCATGATCTGATTCCAGGTATACTTTAGAAGTTTCTTTGTTATGGTTTCAGTCTCAATGTAGAAATTTCTACTCTCTTATTCTACTCATGCTATAGAATATTTTATTTTCTAATTCCTCAAACTCTACTTATATTCCTGTGTACTGGTTGCACATTGTTGAAATTTCTATGTCACCATTTTATGCACACTAAAAGTCTTCCTATGTTTTGATTTCAGGCACGCTACAGAAATTCCCACTTTGTGATTCTTTGAACACTATTTTAAATTCCTGTGTATAGAAACTTCTATGTTCTGAATTAAGGCACACGATAGAAATTCCTTCTTCCTGGAACATTATTGAAATTTCTGTGTACTGATACCAGCCACACTATAGAAATTCCCATTTTCTGATTCTTGGAACACTACTTAAATTTTTATGTACTGATTACAGATTCGAGTAACCTGACGTCAACAATATTAGGAAAGCCTAGACAACAATGTAATTGTAAACACAACGTATGATTCGCACACAGATATGTAACGAAGTTTGTTATAACTAACACTATTAAGAAAATCCATCTTCAACACTCCTGTCTTAAAAAAACTAAACAATCATTAAATATTAAGTCACAAAATAAACTAAATAATAACACTTACATTAAACAGTCTTGCCGAAGATAACTGAAGATTAACAACGTATCGTGAAAAACACAGAACAATAGGAGCCAACAAACTAACAGCTTCTACTTTTAAGTCTAAATGTAATATAGGTAATTTGAAATAAAACAGCTTTATATAGTTCAGAATAAGAATAATATTGGCGAAATTGTCATTTTAGACAAACGTCATTATAAAAGAAATATTATGTTATTATTGAAAGATGGTTCTAAACAAAAATTACAAAGGACCCTAGCAAAATGCTTCATAATAAAAACTATCACCTAGAATTGAATCGTTTTTACTCCTAACGAATAAATAAATAATCGTGGCAGGGGTTTAGTTTGAAGAAAGAGAGAACGAAGTTCTCTCTTCCCAACTAGG